CTGTCATGCGTCAAATATGATTCCATATGTGCGTTAAATGTATGAGTTATGTTTCTTTTGATGCACAGACTTCTAGACAGATGGATGCTTTGTTGCATAAAAAAGACAGGGAATTCCCACAAAATACGTCACATTTGGGAGATCTCTGCACGGAAAGGCGTTGGGTGTAGCGATTTTTTTTTTGACGCATGAGGGAGACCATTTGATGGATACCGCTTCCGCATGTATGTAATCATACCCTCTTAAACCAACCATTTCGATTTTTAACGCATGATGGATGACGCATGACGCATGACGCGTATATGGAATCTTAGCCTAAGCCATGAGGACTCTCTGTAAGATATCCCCAGTTGAAATTCCAGTCAAATCTTATGTTCATTCTAAGAGGTAGTATTCCTTTAAGTAGGGCTGCAACGATTCTTGAGGTTGCGATTCGATACACTATACGATATGAATCCGACGATACGATTTATTGTGATAATTATCGCGATTCATTTATTAGAAGAAGGACAGAGAAAAAATAGTAGAAATTTGTAAAATTACTAACAAGTTTGTCACTATTAAACACTTGAGAACATTTAAAAGTAAGGAATTGTGAAAAAAATCTGTCAGAAATGAATTTTTGCAAATTTTGATGTAAAAATTATACTAGGAAAATGAAAACACAATTTCTTATACACACAAAGATTCTGTGTTATTTGTTATTAAAGGGGGATAAGAATTAATCGAATAGATACATCACGATTATTTTTATCGAACGCGATGCATCGATAAGAAGGAAAGAATCGCGGTTCATCGATTCATCAATGCAGTCCTACCTTTAAGGTTTGAGAAACTGGTAGCAGTTAAAATTACTTACCACACTGTTGTGATATAGCTATCATTGTATAGTGTCGTACCATACAGGCCATAAATGTCAATGCTGTTTGTCGTAATTCTTTGATAGCAGCAGCCACTGAAATATACAATGAAAATATAACCAAAATACTCCCATAACTTGTCAACAATGCAAAAGCAAATAATTTGGAAATCACAAAGTGGTCCTCCTTTCCTATTCAACAATGCCCTCAGTAAAGAGATCTCCTAAAAATTTCTCAGTAAAAAATCCCCTCAAATATTCTCAGTAAAGAAATCAAACCAAAACTTCTCAGTAATGAAATCCCCTAAAAACTTCTCAGTAAAGAAATCCCCTCAAAAATTCTCAGTAATGAAATCCCCTCAAAACTTCTCAGTAAAGAAATCCCCTCAAATATTCTCAGTAAAGAAATCAACCCAAAACTTCTCAGTAATGAAATCCCCTAAAAACTTCTGCAGTAAAGAAATCCCCTCAAAAGTTCTCAGTAATGAAATCCCCTCAAAAGTTCTCAGTAAAGAAATTCCCTAAAAAAAAATTCAGTAAAGAAATCCCCTCGAAAACTTCTCAGTAAAGAAATCAACTCAAAACTTCTCAGTAATGTTATCCCCTCAAAACTTCTCAGTAAAGAAATCCCCTCAAAACTTTTTCAGGAGAGAAATCCCCTCAAAACTTCTCAGTAATGAAATCCCCTCAAAACTTCTCAGTAAAGAAATCCCCTCAAAACTTCTCAGTAAAGAAATCAACTCAAAAGTTCTCAGTAAAGAAATCCCCTCAAAATTTCTCAATAAAAAAATCAACTCAACACTTATCAGTAATGAAATCCCCTCAAAACTTCTCAGTAAAGAAATCCCCTCAAAAGTTCTCAGTAAAGAAATCCTCTCAAAACTTCTCAGTAATGAAATCCCCTCAAAACTTCTCAGTAATGAAATCCCCTCAAAACTTCTCAGTAAAGAAATCCCCTCAAAAGTTCTCAGTAAAGAAATCCCCTAAAAAAAATTTCAGTAAAGAAATCAACTCAAAACTTCTCAGTAAAGAAATCCCCTCAAAACTTCTCAGTAAAGAAATCAACTCAAAACTTCTCAGTAATGTTATCCCCTCAAAACTTCTCAGTAAAGAAATCACCTCAAAACTTTTTCAGGAAAGAAATCCCCTCAAAACTTCTCAGTAATGAAATCCCCTCAAAAGTTCTCAGTAATGAAATCCCCTCAAAACTTCTCAGTAAAGAAATCCCCTCAAAACTTCTCAGTAAAGAAATCCCCTCAATATTCTCAGTAAAGAAATCAACACAAAAGTAATGAAATCCCCTCAAAACTTCTCAGTAAAGAAATCCCCTCAAAACTTCTCAGTAATGAAATCCCCTCAAAAGTTCTCAGTAAAGAAATCCCCTAAAAAATTTCAGTAAAGAAATCAACTCAAAACTTCTCAGTAAAGAAATCCCCTCAAAACTTCTCAGTAAAGAAATCAACTCAAAACTTCTCAGTAATGTTATCCCCTCAAAACTTCTCAGTACAGAAATCCCCTCAAAACTTTTTCAGGAAAGAAATCCCCTCAAAACTTCTCAGTAATGAAATCCCCTCAAAACTTCTCAGTAATGAAATCCCCTCAAAACTTCTCAGTAAAGAAATCCCCTCAAAAACTT